AAATCTCTTTTCAAGTCATTTGACTAAAGTAAATTGTAGAATAAAGAATAAAACTCACCTGCTGTCGATCAGCTGAGTCTGTTTGTGTGAACGACAATCGTTCAGGTTTCTATCAACACTCGTCTTCTTCCTCTTCGACTCCAGGGATCATCAGTGTTTTTAATTAACAGCTGACACCTGAACCTCTCCCACAAGACTCTTTATTTTACCCTCAGTTCTGCCTCACAGGTAAACACCTCCGTCTCAGCTGTGCAGGTCGACAGCGTCACGTCAGGTTAAATATAGACTGACCCGGGTCAGAGGTCAGAGAGTTCATGTTCTCATGTTTAATGAAATAAAGATAATTAAACCTTCAGACTCTTAATAGTCTGCCTCTATGATGCTAACAGTGCTAACATCAACGAGCTGTAATAATGATGATAATAAAAATAATGATAATTTTCATAATCATACAATCAATACTAAACTAATATTGATTAGCTAATGCTAAAGCTAAGCTAAACACCAATATGCCCCTAACTCTCCACTTGTAGCTAAGCTATAATGATACATAATGCTAACTGTTAGTTTTACAGGCGTTAGCTTCGAAGATTAAACACCGTGAAAGCTAAAGCTAAGCTAAAATGTCATGTTAGGGATTTTAACTTTATTCAAAGTTAAACTGTGAACGGTCATGTCTGTAGTTGTTTTGACTTTTTTAAGGAAACTAATCTGATTCACAGACAGGAAGTGATAAAACAGGTCAGCTGACCATCAGTGTGCCCTTATGATCAGCTGACTATCATCATCATCATCATCATTACCAAAATCATCATCACAAGATTCATAATTCAAACATTAAATCAAATGATGGCACTTTATAGAGACATAAACCGTAAACGAAATCCAACTCTCCAGAGTCCAATCCAGGAATGTTAGCCTAGCTTAGCACAAGTAGCTCAAGGTTAACAGTTTCCCCTGCTTTTAATCTTCCTGCTAAGCTAGGTAACCTGTTGACTTTTCTTCCAGTCTTTTTGCTAAGCTAGGCTAACAGTTTCCAATGCTTATGTATTTGTGCTAAGCTAGGCTAACAGTTTCCCATGCTTTCAGTCTTCCTGTTAAGCTAGGCTAATGTTTGCCCATGCTTCCAGACTTTGTGCTAAGCTAAGCTAACAGCCTTGGATGTTTCAGTCCTGATCTCAGACATTGATCAGGTCACTCCGGAGGATGATTCATAATTCAGTCCTGATCTTCAGACTCCGCCTCCTTTCTGTGATTGGCTGTAGTAATGCTGGTTTTTAGATGGGGCGGTGTCAGAGGTGGGTCAACAGGTGATCGTGTGACAGTGTCGTGTGGTTGTTGCTATGGCAACACTGTTAGTGTGCAATGTAATTGTTCTTGCATCGTCATTGCGGCATGTTGTGTTGTCATCGTCATGGCGGCGTGTGTTGAATTCATGGTTGGTGTAGTCATGGCAGCGTGTGTGTGCGTGTGGCGAGTGCCTCCATCACCTCGTGGCAGAGACACTGACAGAAGCCGTAGACGACCAGGAGCAGCAGCGTCGACGGAACCAAACTGACGAGGACGACGCCCAACCACAGCTGACCAATCATCAGCAGATAAATCCCCAGAGGCAGCGAGCTGAAGAACACCTGTACACATCCAACGACAAGGTCACACACACAAACACACACAGACAGACACACACAAACACTCTCTGCTATGACTGCCGCTGCTCTCGTACTGACCAGACAAAGTGCCCCCAGCAGGCAGCGAGGGAAACTGCGGGACGTCCAGCTGTGACACTTGTGGGGGGGCAGGTGACAGGGCAGCGAGTCGAGGCTGGGGGGGCGGTACACGCCCACCACGTTGAGCGTGCTCAGTGAGTCCGACGATGGCGATGACTCAGGAAGTTCCATGATGGTGATGACCAGACAGTCTGAGGAGCGGTGCGACGCCTCCACGCTGCCCCCTGCTGACACAACACATTCACTCACGTTAACTCATCACAGACGTAGAAACATGACAGACAAACAAAAAACATAAACTTCATAAACAAACAAACAAATAAAATGCTTCATTAATTAACAGAAGTTTTTTCACCAGTGAGACTAGACGGACTCAACACCACCTCTCCCCCTCCTCCTCCCCCACGCCGAGCTCGGTCCTGACACGACAAAACGGCCAGAATGTGTCGGTCATCCTCCATTAACCACACCTGAGAAAGAAAAACAAAAAGAAGAGGAGGAGGAGGAAGAAGAAGAGGTGGAGTCAGACTAGGGGTTAGAAGAAAAGGGGAGGGGTCTTTCACCTCATCAGAAAGGTCAGCTCACCTCTTCCTCGGGGACGTGCGTCTCATGGCGACAGAATGGACAGCTGATGACAGAGGGTGACGACTCTCCTGATAACCAATCAGAAAGGAGTAATATGATGGTTTTATAATCAGAGGGTTAATGTTGCATCTAATTGGCTGCATCATACTGGACAGTTATTGGTCAGGTGCTCTGTGACCTCTGATTGGTCAGTGTCAGACACGTCATGAGAACATGAGCCTAATAATTCACCTGCGAGCGTCAGTGTTGTTCACCTTTAGCTCCACTCACCCATGTCGACCATCTTCTTCAAACACTTGGCGCAGACTCGATGCAAACATCCCAGGAGCTTCGGTTTCCTGCTGCGAGTGTCGTAACGGTTGTAACAGATTTTACACTCGAGCTCCTCCAAAGTGTAAACCAGTGACTGAGCCCAGGTCTGCACCTGTTTATATACATATATATATA